TAGCTGGAGTTGTTGCAGTTTGCCAGTGATTGATAGTGTCACCTTAAATGTTACTAGTCAAAACTTGTTTTCTCCTTTTTCACTCCTCCAGAATTCAGGTAGGCAGTGTGCCAGGCTGGAAAATTCCCTTTTGTGCAGTTTGGAAAGTCAGTGGTGAGAGCCTTGTTGTCGCTGGGAACATCAGATCGGGTTAGGAAACAGGGACAAATGTCCCAGCACCTGGAGCACGTGCAGCGGTGCTGAGCAAGCCACCAGCCTGGCTGCAAGGGGGAATGGTGGCAGCAGGACACGGGCTGGCAGGGGGAGTGGGGCTGGGTTAGGTGTGGGGTGGATGAGAAGCTCCCCATGACCCAGCTTCAGTGGGCGCTTGAGCCCAGACCCCCCCCTGTGCTGGGCTGCACGCCCAGAGCGTGAGCAGCAGCTCAGGGAGGGGACCCTGCCCCTCTGCTGCACTATGGGGAGACTCCCCCTGCAGCCCTGATCCAGCTCTGGTGGCAATAAACACAAGAGGGACATGGAGCTGTTGGGGCGAGGCCAGAGGAGGCCATGGAGATGCTGCGAGGGCTGGAGCAGCTCTGCTCTGGAGCCAGGCTGAGAGAGCTGGGCTGGGGCAGCCTGGAGAAGAGAAGGCTCCTGAAGGGGAGACCTTAGAGCAGCTCCAGTGCCTAAAGGGGCTGCAGGGAACCTGGAGAGGGGCTTGGGACAAGGGATGTAGGGATGGGATGAGGAGAAACAGCTTCCAACTGAAAGAGGGAAGAGTTGGATGAGAATACTGGGAAGTTCTTCATTATGAGGGTGCTGAGGCGCTGGCACAGGGTGCCCAGAGAAGCTGTGGCTGCCCCATCCCTGGCAGTGCTCAAGGCCAGGTTGGACACAGGGGCTTGGAGCAAGCTGCTCCAGTGGAAGGGGTCCCTGCCTGTGGCAGGGGTTGGAGCTGGAGGAGCTTTAAGGTCTCTTCCAGCTCAATCCATTCCATGATTCCATAGCAAAGGATGCTGACAAACTAGAACTGCGGGCTGTGTTTTCCTGGAGCTGCAGGAAAGCCCTGGTCAGTGGTGTTGTCCTGTGTTCGATTTAGGGAGCCTTTGGGTCGGGTGACCCTGATCTCTGAAACCCCCAGCCTGGGGCTGCTTCCAGGGAGCTTTGCTGGAATCTGCTCATCCCACCCAACCGTGCTGGGACTTGGCAGCATCTCCTGGGATGCCATTTGTCCATTCATCAGCACAGAAATCGCTCCTCTCCTCCCTGTTGTGTGTCCCCATCCTGTCCTGACAGTACCACCTATGAGCATGTGTACATGTGTGTGCTTCACACACACTCTGAGTTGTCTTATCGGGTTAATTATGATCTTCAGAATTGTGTTCTAATGTATTTGCTGCAGAGTTACACAATGTGCATGATATTCCCCTTCCCTGGTCATGCTCAGAAATCTGATTTTCAATTTTTGGCCTTATAAATCTATTTTTCTCCCAGATGAGAGAGCAGACAGCTTGTGATGAGAGTGAACTTGCTAATAAAAATAATGAATATGCAAAGGGACAGTCACACATTCAAACCCTGCTTTGTTTCTCTGAGTGTGTTTAAGTATCGCATGAATAGAAACAGATTATAAGAATAAATCAGTTGTGGCCTTCACCTTGGGACGAAGCTGAATGACAGTTCTTGTCTCTGTAGATACCTCAGGTCCTTTACCTTATATTTTATGCATGTGGGCAGCTGATTCTTATGCACAGTCATAACTAGTTGAAGAGAAACAAAAGGCTGGGCTGTGTGGTCCCTTTTCTGCCATCACTGCTGCACAGGGAAAAGACCATTTTGCAGTTTCCATCAGTAAAGCTGTTGTCTAGTCCTCAGTCCTGTGGCTGGCTCTTCCCGTCACCGCATGCAGGGCTGGGGAATTCACAGCTTCCCTCTCAACACATCTTATTTTCTAATTTCTTTTCTGTCTTAGAAGATCTTTCTCCGTTATTTGCACAAACTGAGGTTCAAGCCAGCATCTGCTCCTTCATTCCTGTGTCTGCTCTGAAGATGCCTCTTTCCTTTCCGGATTACTACAGGTAGTTAAAGCACGTTGTATTTTCCTCTCAGTCTTTATTTTCTGTGAGATACTACAGGGAGATGCCTGCAGAAAAGTGAGCATTTCTGAATTTGTTACTTGTGATATCTTGTTCTTCCTGTTGCGGAGTTCTCCCTGTAGATAGGACTCTTCGAATGCTGAGGCTGAGTTGATGCCTTCATAAAAAACCCACTTGACGACGAATCCATTCTCATGCAATTACTGATTCACCATCCTTCCTCCAGGTACAAACCACCACAGATAACACGATTTCCATTTCTCTAGGGGAGTGATGTGCAGCAGGCTCGTTTCCCAAGGTTATTTTGAAATAGACAGGCAAAAAAACCCAAGCCAAACAAAACATTAACACCTCCCCCCCCCCAACAAACAAGCAGGAGCCCAGATCTGTGTTTTTATTCTTGTCTTGCCCATAGAAGAAGGAGAGAAGTCAGAATTCGAATGTCTCGCAGTATAGTCTGCAAAAGCAGCGTGCCATTTGGAGCTGTCAGCCTTGTATATTGTGACTGGCACGAAAGCTGCTCTGCCTCTTCCCTGTGATCAGTACAAGAGCTGTATGAGCCACACGAAGTGACACAAGTTACAAACAGGTCTTAGCTTGGCCAGGGAATGGGGAGGGAGAAGTGCCATGGGTTGGTTTCTTCGGATGGGGTTTTTTGGGTAGTTCTGGCATAAATGGGCAACAAAGCAGGCGTTGAACTCCTGATTTAGGAAAATCTGTGGCTGACCTTTAAGCTGCTGGATTCAGCTCAGGGTTTTCCTTTGACTTCTGCACATTTTAAGGTACGTTTTGCTCCTTTTGTATTCACGGGGCAGTTCAGCCCCTGCAAACCTATAGCAGCAGCAGTGAGATTTCAGCCCTCTCCTATCCAGTGCTGGATCAAAAGCATCTCCTAAAAACATCTCACATTTGAACTTTTCTTAGGGGTACAAAACCTCTGCTTTGCTTTGAGGAAGGCAGGCAGGAGGAATGGAAGCCATCCTTCCCCAGGCTGCTGAGCTCCTTAAGCTCAGAGTAGCTGCAGCATAGGGAATGTGGTTTTTAGTATTACTTCAAATCCAGTGAAGCAAACTGGAAAGCAGTCTAGTTAAAGCTCTGCAATTAAAGCGGGGCTCTACAAGTGTGGCTGAGTGGAGATGTGGATATGATCTGCCTAATAAGTAGTAAATCTGGGCATCAACCTGGATGAAAGAGTGTTTAAGTTCTGTCTTTATTCACTGTGCACTGCTGCAGACTCGTTCATTGCAGTGGAAATGAACTGTAATGCCTGGAATCCACAGTGCTTTTGTTTTCATCCTGGAGAATGCTCCACTGGTCACACTCGTGGGTTTGGTTGCTGGCTGCAAATTTCCCACTCAAAGGAGCCTTATTCCCACTTATGACACTTAACAATTGTACCTCACTAGTAACATCACCCCCTGAAAGCAGCGGTGAAACTTCCCTACCCTTCAGCATGAGTGTGATGGGTTCCATATAACCTCAGGAAAGTGATGTTTAAACTCTAAATGATTTCACAGAGCTCCTTACAGGGATGAGGCTGCTCAGTTCAGAACCTTCAGCTTTGTCTGGGTTTATGTATATGAGCTGGTAAGGTTTTGTGATGTTAATTTTATTTGGTATAATTGTGCTTTGAACAGGAAAGCATCCCGGTCCTTGTCTTTTCCCTGTCCTGTCTGAATCACATCTGTAATACCAGAACAGATGAAGTTCCTTGCCTTCCTTCTGAAGCAGACTGCTTAAGCACTAAGCCCTGGTAATCCAGTTTATGTTTTCATAACAGTAAATATAATATGAAGATATGCACAGCTTGTGCTTGATGTAAGCACTGAGATCATGACAGTGTTCCTAAATCCTTTTATTTTAAGATTTATTTACTTGATAAACTTCACGTTGTCTTTCCTTTGGTATTTCGAGCTGGGCTTTAACCCAAAACGAGCCTCCCGTATCTCTACCACTCTGGGGAAAGCTTCCTTTTCCCTGGTGATTCATTGGTACAGGAGACATCAAGATATCATCTACGGGATGTTCAAGTGACAGGCAGAAGCTCTAAGGTTCTTCATGTGACCTTGGGCAGCCTCAGCAAGCTCTTTTCTCCTCCTTGCCTAAAAGTGAGGAGCTATTATTCCCTTCCCTCTAATCCCTAGTGTTTTCTTTTGCTCTTTATATAAGAGACTTTGCTCTTTGCACTGACACAGTGCCAAGTATGTATTTTCATCATCGTTATTTACACTTTGATTAAGCGTATTGTTCAGTAGATGACATTAATAATATCAAAATGCCATTTTATACAATATTTAAGATCAGAATTTTCTATTGGAAATCAGTAGGAACATCTTCCTAAGAAATCAATGACCCCAAAGCCCCTTCTTACATAAGTAGTATCTATATTTGTCAGTGCCAATATAAGATGCTGTGGTTATCTGTCTGTCCATGGCCTGGACAGGACTCAGTGCTGCATTGCTCAGAGGCAGGCAGTTAGCTGTCAGGAGTGGATGACTTTTAGCCTTGCACCAGTACAATTTAAATGAGAAGCCTGGAGCTGAAAGGCTCCATTTCCCATTAACAGACCCCTCCTGTGGGTTACTTTGTCATTGGACTTCAGCCCTTACACAAGAGGCTCCATTAACTAGGAAGGGTTAGTCCTTCCCAAGTCCTTCACGACTCAAGGTGACTGAGCAATTCCCTGCTGGAGTGGGTCTGTTCAGAATATAACTGCATCCGTTAGCCAGAGCTGGGTCAGGGAGAGAGCCTTGATTCTATTCCTGGCTGCTGGAAATGGCACCTCTGCACCATAGTTTATCCTGGACAAATTTAGAGACAGAGCTGGTCTGTCAAGGGATCCATGCCACTGAAAACTGTGTGCAGCTCTCTTTGTTCTGTAATAAAACTGTGTACATTGCATATGATACATAACAATTGCACTTTCAAATTGCAGAGGGATTAGGGCTCTGTTTGATGAGTTTAATATTTTATATTTATCTTGAAGTTTCTATACATACCTATATCTATATCCTGGATCTAATTTAGCCTGGGGTGTAATCAGTAAAAAAAAGGCAGGGTAACCTCATCACCTGTAAGCATTCCAGTGGGAAAATACACAGCACCAGCAGGAATTCAGGTTAAAGATGTTGAAAAAAAATCTCCTTTCATCAGGGCTTTCTTCCTCATTAAATGCAGAGTTTGCTCATAAGTATTTGCCAAATAAAAAGGGAGAAATAGGTAAAAGTTAATACTATACAATTAAGTTCCCTTGAATTTTCCCAGAAGGTTCACCTCAGCTTAATTTAATATCCCCTCAGTCCTCCCAAGCCATCTGCTTGGCTGAGATGTGAAACAAATGTGTACAGTTCGATGTATTTATCATGCCAGCCTCGGAGGTGAGCAAAGCTCATAGGAAACAGGTTTGCTCAGTGACCCTGCAGGGCAGTTGTCTCTTCAAGACGTCCTTCACCATGCAGCAAAAGGCTGCTATCAGCTATCCTGGAAGAGACTTGGAATAATGGAGCAAGGCAGGTGGAGCTTGTGCTAAATGATGAGCATGTCAACAGCCTCGTTGTCTTGGTGAGTTGGGCTCAGCAGCTGGGGAAGTCAGGGGAGAGACTGGCCTGAATTCCCAGCTGGGTGGGGGCACATGCAAACTGGTTCCTCCTGAGCTTGTTAGAGACCATCAGTGATTTGAGTGGGAGAGCAAAAGGAAGCAGGAGTGTTGGGATGAAGGAGGAAAGCTTCCTGGCCCCTGTGGTGATAACCTATTAGCACAGCTCTGTCTCCGAGGGAGCAGATGCCAGCCTTTGGAGCATGCTGCTGGCTGGTGTGTGCTCACACCTCTGAGGCACTGATGGGTCCTGAGCAGCCCCACAGGTAGGTAGGTGCTTTGTAAGGGTGGTTATGGGCACAGTGCAGGCAGGCTGGTCCTATGCTCCCTTGGGATCTGGGAGCGTCTGCATCCAGGTTAATAGTCCTGGACTTACCCAGTGATGTAGGGTGTAATTCAGAGATGGGCAAAATGTGGTGGAAAGTGTGGTCTGAACATCCAATGCCTCTGGTTCCCACTTCCCCCTCTGTCATTGCCGGGGGGTACTCTTCCCAGATCCTAAGGACTCATGGGCTGGGACACTGGGAATTCTCCCGCATAAGCAAGGGGCTAACACCAACCTCATTACCCTGTGATTAACTTTACCCTTCCTCCCTCCAGAATTGTTGTTGATACTTTGCCAATGCTTTTAGCATCGTGAGTGCTTTTTGGCATTCACACACTATGGGCTTTGCAAACAAGTGAGGCTGGGCTCTATTGTAACTTCCTCCTCTCTTCTTGGCCTGGGGTCTTTACAGGCCACATTGGTGTTTGCTCTGGTGGCTACAGGTCTTTCCCTTTGAAGTTTCCCTTTGAAAAGCCTCTGTGTGTGTGTATGGTGCACAGTGCACAGGTAGGTCCTGGCTGAACAGGGAAACATCTGCTCTCCAATTAGCAGAAAACCCCAAAGAATAGCGTTACTAAATCTGCCTGGACGTTTGCAGTTCAAATGCTGGGCTGCAGGGGAATCATTCAAGATCTTTGTTTTAGGTATGGAGGTAAATACTGGCTATGGAAATGCTTATCTTTGTCCCAGGTCTGATGGAGAGTTTGATGTTTACAAAGGGCTGGAGAGCTATAGCCTGACACTTGGAGCTATAGCACCATTGGACATAGGACAAGGGGAATGGCTTGAACCTGCCCGAGGGGAGACTGAGCTGAGCTCTTAGGCAGAAGCTCTTCCCTGTGAGGGTGCTGAGGCGCTGGCACAGGGTGCCCAGAGAAGCTGTGGCTGCCCCATCCCTGGCAGTGCTCAAGGCCAGGTTGGACACAGGGGCTTGGAGCAGCTGCTCCAGTGGAAGGGGTCCCTGAGCGTGGCAGGGGTTGGAGCTGGATGAGCTTTAAGGTCCCTTCCAACCCAAACCAGGCTGAGATTTTCTATGATTCATTGCTGAGATGTAAGGGTATCAGATCAGGCAGTTGCAAACAGACACTATTGCTCTTGTGCTCTCTTCCCCTCTCCTCCAGTGCTCAGTGGGTTTGGGATTCTTGCAGTATTCCCATTCAGAAAGGCTGGGTTTGTGCACCTCGAGTTTTAGATGGAGCACATGCTCTGATCCTGGTTTGGAAGAGTGTTGTTTGCCTGATGTGAGCTCTAGTGAAGGGCAGGTGTGGTAAGATGTTAAATGAAGCTTAAATCTCTGTGATGCTTCTGCAGGAACAATGGGGCATTTGTTCTTATTGCACACCAGTGCAGGGTTCTCTGCCTCTGGACTTGCTGGTGTTCAAACTTTAGGTGAGGCTTAACAAAGATTGGGGGTTTTTTTTAATCTAAGTCAAATATCAGCAAAGTTTATTCTTTGAGACTGCTTTGATGTTTTGCATCTCCAGTTTACACCAGGAGCAGAATAAGTTGCTTGGGGAGTTCATTTGTATTCATAAGGTATTAGTTCACAGCTGTTCCACCTCTATAAGGAATTCCTATAAGGTCTTCTGAGCAAGGAAATGGGCTAGTTTGACTTTCAGTGATTTCGTTTCATACATAACATACAGCTGTCGATAAGTAAAGGTTGGCCTTCAGCTGGGTAATGTTAAAAAGTGCATTTCTATTCATGAGGTGTCTGGCAGTCGCTATTTCAAAACCTTAGGACTGTATTTAAGATAGGAGAACAGACCTAGAGCTGTGCTTAAGTTTTCTGCCTCCTTGTCCTTAAAAGCCATGTTTCCACGCAGAGCTTCTCTGAGCTGTTTTGTACCTAGATGTTATGTGTTCACCCTGCCTGTGGACCCACTAGGGCTTACCAGCATTTTGATCATGGAATGGAAAGATGCAGTCCTAGGGCATAACTGTGTGCAGTGCAAGGTGGCAGGGCATGCACTGGAGTCAAAGCTCTTGTAAGCTGGCCCCAAAGAGGAATTTGGTCTAAAGCCATTTACATGTGGATTTAGAAGCAGTTCTCAAAAGTGTCAGTTGGTAGAACACTCTTTCCATTGTAAACTGTATCCATAGATGGGATTTGTTTTCCTTTGGCATCTATAAAATTAACTTGAATTACTCCAGATAGAAGATATTAAGTATAGAAAACAGGGACATTTCCATCTTCTCCTCTTTGAAGGCAGCTCTGCTGCAGTGCACACAGTAATATGCTGAGCAGATCCACACCTCCACAGCAGCTTTTGAACCTCATGTTTGAAAGGGAAACCCGCTCTTGGCTCTGGATGGGTGAGAGTGTCTGTATGTGAGATACTGAAACATAAAAAAGTATTCTATGTCTGTTCTTTAGCATAGAGAACAGGTTGTATTTGTTATGGGAACAGGTGCTTGGGATGCAGATGTGATAGGAGAGATGCGGCCTCTCACCACCCTTTTAATAAATAGAACTTATTTCTATTATTTAATTTATTAGAATTTATTTCTATTATTTAATTTAATAGAATTTACTTCTATTTATTTAGACCATCACCCTAATAAATGCATAGAAAAGGTTACTGCAACTGAGACGGTTGTGGGTGAACACATAAATGGCTAGTGGGGACGACATCTCTATCATAGAATCAACCAGGTTGGAAAAGACCTTTAAGATCATCAAGTCAAACCGTTACCTCAGGAGAGCAAGACCACCGCTAAACCATGTCACTGAGGGCAGATCAAGGATTTTCTCCCTAAGTACTTTGCTGTGCTTTATCTACCAAGGACATGGGTGTAGGGAACAAGGTGTGTTATATCCTCTCTTCAGTTGCATTCTCACAACATGGGCCTTATTCTGGGTATTGAGGTATTATTTGATCATCTAAGTGGGATCTAAACCCTTCTTGAACTCTTATTATGTGAAAGCACAAAACAGGGATTTTTTAAATAGAGGAGCTGTAAAATGTGTCCTTTCAGCTGCTGTGCTGCACGTTTATTATGCATTATAATATATCAAAAAAGTTATACCCAAGCCCTAGTTCTTTAACTGATTACGCCCTAGTTCTTGTTTTAAAGAACGTGATTGTTCTTCAAAGCCATCTGCAGAGAGCTGTGCGCTGGCTGCTTCCTGCAACTCGGTTTTGAAGTGCAAAAGCAGAAAGAATCGTAACCATCACCAGAGATTTTGCAACTGTAATAGGCACGCATCGTGAGGCTGAGTGTTTGCGATTGCTATTTTTGAGTCTTTGACTTACTTGAAAAGAACTTGATGCTCGTGTCATTTTATGTAAATTGGGCTCCGTCTGTCACTGCCTATTGGATATAAAGGGGTTTAGAAGGCTTGTTTTTAGAAATGCACAAGACTCTTTCTACTGAAATAATCGGTGTGCGCACATCCATGACATAATATCTTTCCATAATCGTAGCACAAGTAACCAGGGATAGAAATGGGAGGGAGATCATCACAGCTGTCCCAAAGCTATCATGGAATAGGTTATATTTTAGAGGCAGAAGTCGCCTTCACTTCGGAAGTATTATCTGTATATGGGACCAGGCATGTCTCCTCAGGCCAGTGACCTAAATACCCCACCAGTACGTAGTGGCTATCAGCATCATTATAACACTGTAGGAGTTGTGCTGTCTTCTGAAGGTGAGGGCCTTACAAAAGTGGTTTCAAGCTGCCAAAAGACCATGCAGAAAACAGGAGTCTGCAAAGGAACAAAGCTAGACATGGAAAAGCTTTCTAAACACAGCATTATTCACTCTTCCTGTTTTTAAGGGGTTAGTAAACTGTAATAGCATACTAAAGAAAAAAACCTTTTCCTTGTCTAGGAAGGCACATCATTAGAAGCTGTTCTAGGTGATTACAAACAGTGTTTATGGGTAACCTATTGCTCTGCTATGCCCTGCAACATCGGATTCACCATCACTCCAAGGCCTACTAATCAATATATACACAGCACTGAAAAAGAATCCACTACCAGTGGTAATTACAACTCTTAAATCTATATGTACAAGTCTAAATGATCTGGTAGAGTCCCTGTGATGAAGTTAGAACTGTTACCCTTTGGACTGTGCTTGATTGTGAGCTAGGAGTTTTAAATCCTGGCAGAGGAGCCATTTTCCTACTTCATTGTGGTTTTTAAATTGCTATTAATAAAACATAGTGCTGTCTGTGTCTTGATGCAGAGAGACCTTAGCCTTAGTACATGCCCTTCCCATTTATTATTTATACAGGCATTTAACAGCTCTGACACATCTTAACAGAAACACCAGGCAGTTGTTTGTGAACTAGGAATAGTAACAAATATATTTGATATTTCAAAAAGGCTTTTTTTTAAATGCATATGTAATTGAATGGGAATAATACCTGAGCCTCGTGGGTCCTGGGAGGAGCGACATTGAGTGTGTTGTCTTTTGCTTAACTTCGACAGTTTTGCCACTTGCCTTTTATTTCCAAGTTAAAGTGGCACTTAAAGGGTATTTTATATATGTGTGTATGTATATGGCTGCTAATTGAGTTTATATGTGCAGCAGGGGTTGAGTAAGGAGTGATTAAGTGCACCTTCCTATTGGCATCTCGGAAAAGCTGATTGCTTTTCCTCGCCTGTTCTTGTTTCCTGATGTATGAATGCTCCCATGACTGTTAAGGATTCTGCCTCTTTCAGCAGAGGGTTACCCAGGCTGCTCCTGCAAGTACTGGTGCAAGTCTGATGTAATGGCAGCTTTCTAAAGCGAGGAGATAGCCAGCAGAGTGGCCTAAACTGCTCAGAAACCCCCCCCAGCAAAGCTGTGTCTGGATAAGGTTGCATCTCCCAAGAATTGTATTTAAAACCAATGAGAAAGGCTCACACCTTCAAGAAGTCAGTGACTTTGACTCTGGTACCCTTGAAAACAATGACAAATCTCATGTTTTGTCTGTCATCAGTAAAAATAAAC